GAAACCTTCATCGAAATAAGAAATATGAACTCTCTCTTATCCAATGGGAAAATTATCTGGAAATGATGGAGTCAGCTTTTCAGCATAAGTATATCACAGAAAAAATCTGAACATTTCTTTCGCAATTCATCCAGCTCCTGATGCTTTAGATATCACCGCCTCAAATATTCGAAGTAGCTGGTCTGGGACATGTCGAGTGATCTGTTTCATCGATTTTTAGAGTCCGCTATTCTCCAGAGATGTACCAATTCCCCAGCAGTTCAGATGATCGCAAGTTCTAAACCAGGAATTGGGGAGACATGTTTCCATAAAGTAAATTTCAGAAACGGGAAAATTGGAACAAGGTCATATTGGATGAAGTTTCGGACCTACAGGTCGATAGCGCGTTTAATAATTCAGGGGCCAGAAGGGACGATTCGTGGTCATTAATCAGTCGATTTTTCTCCTCTTATTTTTCTTCGAGTTCATGGCTACCAAGTCAAGCAAACTTAGCCATTTTCCGGATTTGCAGGCTCCTATTCATTANATGGAGAGTAGAGGAGAAAGTGGTCGACGACCGAATTTCACCAGTTAGAAAATTGGGATGCTCATTGAAGAAGTCGAGCGAAGGAAGAATGTCTTGCTGAAGAAACTCAGCTAAAGCGTTGTAGGAAAAATGTACAGTAATTCCAAGAGTAGGATTTAGAGACTGAGACAGTGAGCTGTCTCTCCTCTGTACGGAGAACTGCTAAAAAAGTAAAATCTAATTCATGGACCTGAAGAGACGTGGAAAGGCGAAAGGAGCTCAGGTAGAGTGGCAGGACTGGAGGTAGATCTTTCCCACTGTCTGATCTCTGTCGAAAAATTTTTCAATAATTGAGCGGAAAAAGGGTTTTGCTGGCGCATTATCGTCTTACTTTTCTGACACCGGATGAATGTGAATAACCTCATAACCTTCGAGACAAAATCTTGTGAATCCTGTGTGCATATATCCTGTTAACCGCCAAGTGTGAATGAACCTTAGCTTAATTGAGACACCCAATGAAAGAGAGTTCCACAGATCCCTCGACATCGTCATTGTGGTCACTTACGATACCTCGGGGCCATTCGTAGANCCCAATGAAAGAGAGTTCCACAGATCCCTCGACATCGTCATTGTGGTCACTTACGATACCTCGGGGCCATTCGTAGACTTACGAAGAAAGATACGAACTTATGTGCTTTCGTGAAGACAAAATTGAGTAGCATTCTTACGAACTGCGTACGAAGATCGTATGAACATCTTACGCAAAAATGCTTCATGAATACCATTTATGAACTTTTCTCTTCTTACGAATAAAAAGCTCTTAAGAATGTTTCGTGAATACGGCCCCTGTAGTGTTTCGCATATGAATGTGTTTTTATTTATTTATTTATTTTTACTAATACGATTATCTGAGTATAGTGAATGCCTTTAGCACGCATCAAAGTAATATAGGTTATTCGAAGAAAGGACAAACTCACGTGAAACTGCTTCACCGCGGCCGCATTGCTCCCATATTAATTAAATGAACGCTTCAGTATGGCATCAATCCTTTAACATTGATTCAATGTCGATTCGATGTTGAAAAGATCGATATTAAGAGAACGTTGTCCGGTCAAAATTACATCAACAGATGTCTGGCGAGGCATCTAGCGAGACATGCGAACAAACAAGATTTCCTTACTGCAAAACATGATGGAAACTACTTGTCCAACATGGTTAGTTACCATATACATGCAATGAGTACGCGTCTCTAATACTTTTGGAACAGTACTTGATATTTCCTCCACAAACGACGCCTGGGAAGGAATTTGACTTTCTGGATATATTCGACCAATGTGGCAACCTAACCAACCAAGACACAGGATAATTCTGAGCAGGGTGATGAACACAAGAAAGTATGCAAGGTCATATTACTCCATGAGACCACGTCGCCCTGTTTTCGAGAATGAATCCAAATGATCACTGCCGATGGGTGCGTGGAGTGAGGGTAACCTCTTATTAAATCGCGGTAATCGCGTCGGTGTCCTGCTTCCGGGGGAACATGATGCCTCTTTCTCATCACGGCATTAGGTTCGCATTGTCCTTGGATGGGGGGATCTTAAAAAAGCGGATTCGGAGGATGGAGATCGTGTCCAGATGCTTCAGCCATGAAACGGCGCATGCGCACGAATTAAACAGATTGTTGAGACCTGTTGAATCACGTTGAATCATCGAAGATTCTATATTTCTTCAATGTTGAAGAAAATGACTTTGAAAAATGGAGTCAACGTTGATAAGCAAATGCTGAAGCAACGTTGCAATGTTGGTTTTGAACATTGAATCAATGTTGATATACCGTTGATGTCAACGTTGAATCAATTGTTGATAAAAATGAAATTTCAATGTAGAGTCAATGTTGACAGGCAATGTGGTTTCAACGTTAACGAAATGACGTTGAATCAACGTTTATTCAACGTGAGAGTGCTACTTGGGATGGGATCGCGTGTTCTCCGTGTACGTAAGGGGGCGCTATTATATACGGATTGACTCCAATTAGATAAGTACATATGAGATTCGTAAGGACTAGGATATTCAGCAACAATAACAATGGATATATTGAATGTATTCAACTCACTCGTACAGTCTACAATAACCAGGCAGGAGGGAAGTTGTTAAGTCGAGGGTGACAGGAATAATTTACAGGTCCCTATACAATCCATACATACAATACACACTGTTATACAATGTCACACGATCGCATCCACACTGTCTCTCGTCCACCATCTAGTCTCGCCTCCACCCCCTTGTCTCGGTCCGGGGGAGACCTCTTGGAGGTGGGAGGTGTCCACTAGGGGGTGGCTCCTCCTCCACTCCTCGGTGAGGTCCGCCGCTAAGCCCACAGGACCTTGTCTTGTATCTAATACACGTATATACAGGGCCTTTCATTCACAGGGCGAAGTTCATGCGCATGAAGTCGGCAGCGAAACGAAGGCAATGCTTAGCCGGCGTCCGGGAACGTTTTGGACAGCCATCTAGCCCACTATCACAGAGACAGAGATTCCAGGATTCTACAGTATATATGCTGTTCTGTTTGCGGACACTTTAGTCGGAAGATTGACCAAAAGAAGCACTCGCAAGTCATCGTAGCCCGAGTCTTTCGTCTCCAGGATTAGTTGCGTCTTTCCGATTCCTCGTTCATGCATTTCGTAAGTTTCTCCCCAGGAACATCTTCAAAGAGAAACCAACTGCCACATGAATACAGCATCATAAAAAAATACGTGGCAATGTTTGGAATGCCGACCTTGGATAGATGTTTGGAGGAAAAACACGGCAGGACAAATTTCAACGAAATAGGGAATTTGGAAACTTTCTAATGAGCGGAAAATGGCAGAAGAACGAGGGAAAATGCGGGAATTGAAACCAATACAGAATGAGCAAACACAAATATTTTTAGAGCAATTAAGATGAACAAATAGAAGCAAATAGATAATATGTCTACAAACACTGAACAACTGCACTCTGTTACGTACTAAAACTGCCCAGGCGGCATGTTTATGTTAATTTTACGTAAACTGAATGTAAATTTGTTGTCCAATTTATATTTATTTTACGCAAGCCATCATCAAGATGATGTCGAAATGTTTCCAGAAATATCACCTCCGTAATACGTGATCGATTATATCAAATTAACGTAAATATTACGTAAATTGGCATTCCCGTTTACATCCCCAATAGCATGCTTACATTGACTTTACGTAAAATTGATGTAATTTCCCCCTAACATTCAAGAGTATTTATAGAGCCAATTCGTACTTTTAAATGAATTCAAATGTTATATGTCTCCCACTCCATTCTTTGGAACACAAATTTACATGGACGAGTACACAAGTACAAAAGTACTCGTCCTCACCAACACCCAAGAGTACCAAGATGTCTAATTAGTTCCTCCTCTCATAGATGGACCTCGGAAGAAGGGATCGATGTTTAGAAGAGCTCTCATTTATTAAGGATAGAGAAGGTATAACAATTCTGGAGCTGGGATTCTACCCTTCCCTAATCCCATGCACTGCTGTAATAATAAGTTTAGCTTTAGCATTTAATGATTCAGTGAGTCATATATTATTAAAACTATGTAATAATTTCTTGCTATCCATATATACAGTATATTCATGAATTGCATAATAAGAAGTGAATGGATGATAAGAAAACCTGATACTATATCAGGAATACCAGTACTTAATAGCATTTGTAGGTGCAGGGAACAAGGGTACCATCTAGTGCGGAATCTTCGTATTGCAACTACGGGAGATCAGCTAAAGTTTCATACGGAAAGTATGAATTTAACTTTGCATGAACTTGCAAAACTCTCTTTTGCAAAAAAATATATATTGGTCACGTCTAGCTTATGTAACATACATGTACACCTTAGTCACGTAAATAGAGTAACATAAGTATTAAGTAAACATGATGTTATTTTCATGGCAATCGCATGAAATTTGCATTGTTTGCCAAAAATTGATATCTTGCTTACGTAAACATGCTACTTGGATGGTTTCCAAATTTCCCATGAGTTTCTCCTCCCTTCAGTTAATTCTTGTGGAAGGAGGAGGGGAATATAGAAATGGAGAAAAACACGCGAAAGATGAAAACCGCCATTCAAATTCAATAAAAGGCAAGAAAATGAATCCAAAAGAAGGGTATTTATTCTGGTCCGAATCACATGTAAGACCGTTCTTATTCGTTCTCTGGTTGCGACGCGACCCCCGCTAGCGGTGTCAAGTGAACCGGCCGCACTAATGTCCAGTCGTCCGTAACTAGGGTTTCTCAGGGAAGACCTGTCAGGACCCCCTTTTTTCCTTACCTATAAATGTAAAACTCATTCTGGTCAGACGAGTATGAGTGCAGAAAAAAACGTACGAAATAAAATTCCTGCCCGTGGTCACATCGAATGAAGGCTCCACAATCAAGTGGGTTTTCAAGAAACGTTCCGTCGCATTGATTGGCACAGAGTCCATCAAGACAAGGGTTCTCTGTAGTCGAACAAGGTGGCTGGGTAGTGCAGGTGGGGGTAGTAGTGCATGGTGGGGGAGTGCAAGTAGTGGTAGTAGTGCAGGGTGGTGGAGTGCAGGTGGTGGTAGTAGGTGGGCAAGTGGTGGTAGTAGTGCAGGGTGGTGGCGTGCAGGTCGTGGTAGTAGGTGGGCAGGTGCTGGTAGTGGTGCAGGGTGGGGGTGTGCAAGTGGTAGTAGTAGGTGGGCAGGTGCTGGTAGTCGTGCAGGGTGGTGGTGTGCAGGTCGTGGTAGTAGGTGGGCAGGTGCTGGTAGTGGTGCAGGGTGGGGGTGTGCAGGTCGTGGTAGTCGTGCAAGGTGGGGGTGTGCATGTCGTGGTTGTCGTGCAGGGTGGGGGTGTGCACGTCGTAGTTTCGCAAGGTGGAGGAGTGCAGGTTGTGGTGGTTTCGCATTCTTCATAGCATCCATGATCCGCGCAGATGTGCGGATTCACGGGAGCATTGCAGCAAACGTTTTCCGGCCAATCACAGACGTTTAATGCCGGGTTGAACATGAGACCGTCTGGACAGGCATGGTAGTAAGCCTTCCCATTCGAGCATTGGCAGAAGCTGCCACAATCTTCGGGGTGTGGGAAGTAGGTTCCTTCTCCACAGTCTGGCTTGTGGCATTCATCGTCGAGGCACTCGCAGCCGCATTGACAGCTCCAATTCAATGCAGGGTTGAACATGAGACCGTCTGGACAGGCATGGTAGTAGGCTTTCCCATTCGAGCATTGGCAGAAGCTGCCACAATCTTCTGGGTGTGGGAAGTAGGTCCCTTCGCCGCAGTCTGGTTTGTGGCAGTCATCGTCGAGGCACTCGCAGCCGCACTGGCAGCTCCAAATTTTCTCTTGAAGAAGGCCAGCTTTTACAAGATCTTTGTGAATTGTCCCAGCATTTGCTGCTACAGCAAATGTCAGCAGGCTTGCTATGACCACTGCGAATCTCATCTTGACTGCAACGACAAAATAAGTGATTCTGAAGATTGGGAATGAGTTTGTTGAGGAAAGCCCACCCCAAGGAATGTGCTTTTAACAATTATCACCTGCAGTCATATCTGAGATCCATTATGAATATTTTAAAATTATTTTTCTCTCATAGATATTTCCTCTTGGTTTCATTTGTGAGAAGATAAATTTTCCGTGATTATGTGTAAAATAAGATGACCAGTGAGGAAATTCTTCTGGATATCGTTCTTTGGTCTCTAACGATTTATCATATGCCTAATTCTAAACATCAGCGAACTCGTGGATGTACGATATCTTATCTTTCAATACACTAGGATGCTTTTCGCAGAAATGACCTGGTGTTCATACAATTTTCCTGGGGACCCGTTCATTCCAGTTATATTCCTAACTAACGCTCTTCTCTGCATATGTAAACATAGACAAAACGATGGGATGAAAAACATTCATTTACTCAAAGGCTTTCAGTCCCAAGTCCAAGTAAAGTCCTTGTTTTTATTATCAAAATGTCTTAGACATTCATGAACTTTTGTGGTTATCTTTCGAGCGGAAGGTATATTTCGCTCACGTCGCTCAAAAGCGATGCACAGTTTAGGCACAGTGTGCCCGTGCCCATTTCGACTCGGAATATACAGGTCCTTGGGGTCGGCCTTCTTAGAGGAATATGAATCTTCTCCAATCTTCTCCGTTACAAATCGAAGAGGAATGAGGAATACATTGTTGCATCTAAATTAGAATAGTCTGTACCAATGGGACAGACTATCCCAATTTAGAAAGTCGTCGACGCTACTCCATAGGTACTCAATATGGGAACCAATATCGATATGAGAGATTCCTTCGAATGCGAGACATGTTCTTATGGAAATAGAATCAAGAAGTGCGACGAGAAAAAGTTTCGCAATGGAAAAAGAAAATGGGAGTGGACTCACCTTGCCTTTAGCCGGTAAACGTGTGGTAATGCTGCAGTCTCAACCAGGTGCCAACTGTACCGATGTTTCCCCTCCAAGCCCGAGTTTTTAAGGCTTCAACTTGTCTTGGGGTAATCCTGCCGTTAAGCTCCCTGTTTGCATCTGTTTTCCACTCTGACGGCATTTTCCTCGGATTCTTGCAACCCGGATTACCCCATTTTCATTTTCCCGAATATAAATCAGTCAAGTTGAAGTGACATGCTTAATGCATCTACTTATATATGAGTGACCTTGTCTGAAAATAGTTTTTAACGACCGTCACTCTAACCTGAAAAGAATGAAATTAATGATTCATTAGAATTTTTCTGCAAAGGAAGCTGGAGACTTCCACATGATTTTCGCTAATTTCCTCCCATCCGATGATTCCATCATCTGAAGGAATTTTAAAAAGGGAAACAATTTGTTTCCCCTAATTGTTAAATACCTGACCAAATACCCTTTCGACATAACAAGTGTGGTCAACGTTGAGTTCAGATTGACTTTTCCAATTAGCAACCTTGGAAATGAAACATAGTTCATCGTTGAAAATGAGTTAATGTGTCACGTGGTTCCAACGGTAAATTTTTTCAAACATTGGGCGTTACCTCCTCATCATCCTGTCCGCGAACGCCCGCTAATATTGATTAGATCGTGGAAGTACTCTAGTGAGTACTATCATTCCACGGAGGGGTCCTTCTGAGGT